ACTTAATATTCGTATCAGAAAAAAAATACAACTTAAACGAAGAAAATACGATAAACTTATACAATAAACTGGAGTGAGCGACATTGAACAAAGCAGATTATTTCATAACTCTTTTCTTTACTTCAATGTTTCTAAATTTTGTGTCAAAATTAATACACTGAGATAACTCATCATTAGTTGTTTCAGTGACTTGTAAAATGCATACTTGATATTTTCCACACTTTTTGTTTCACAATAGAAAGGTTAACACTAACCCTCCATTTCAATGTGATTAACTTATGTTTTTGTCTTAGTACAAGTCTTATTTGTAAAATAACATTGATTCTTTTTTCTTTTAACAAAATTGAAATCCGGATCTCCTTTAACATTTCGACATTTACATCATATGATTTTGAAGAAACATAAAAAACAAAACTTAGTAATTTTGGATGACGAGCTGTACAAAAAATGCGAACTTGGCATTAATTTAAATCGAGCAAGCAAAAGGTGGTTACACGCATTTGTCAAACAAAGAAAGGCTACCTGCGCTTCTCAAACAAAGGGAAGTTAACTGCGCATGTCAAACAATGGGACGCTACCTGTCTATGTAAATATAGTCACTTGGTTGGTGAGATTGTTTAGACAGACTAATATATTTCTCACCTGTGTGCTGTATGCAAAAATTGGCCAATTACTGATGTAGGGAGTTGTACAGTCTTATATCTCATGTCCGCATGGAAATCACCAGAGAAAATGCAACAGTGGCGAATCACTTGTCTTAATTGACGAAGACTGTAGAATGTTGGTACTTTTAATAGAGAGAATTCGAAATACTACAGTTACTAAAATTGCGGTAGAAATTAATGTTTTATTGTTTAAAACCATAAACTGAGAAGCCAATAAGGTAGAAGTCAAACAAACTGGTGTTTCAAGGCGTAACTACTGTTCATAAAGCAGTCGTCATAGATTGGCATAGACATGTATGTCTACAGAGCTGTCGTGGCCATCGCAACTGGAGTTTGTGGCAAGTAGAGGACAGTAAAATGATCTGATGAGTACGTTTCTTACACTTTCCCATGTTTGTATATAGAGATGACCCCGAAAAGGATGCAACAGGGAATGCACCAAATCAGTAATAACATGATCAGGTGTTTCGTAACGCAATGGGCTCTTTCGTTAGTTAGCCCTTGCGATTCTTATAACAGTTAATAGTAAAATGGCCGTCACACGCGATATAAGAAAATCATGATATTACCCACCATGCGTAACTGCCAACCAAATATAGATTGTGTCTTCCATGATGACGAACCGATTCTGACTTTACCATTCTATCCTGTTCTCCATAATCAACTGACCTGAGTCACTTGAGCATCTATGCGGTATTTTGTAAAGCCAGTTGCAAGAGTATCACAACTGAGTTGGTCCAAATACCACAGAACACCTTCAGGTGACTTATTGCGAAAAGCATGAAGGAAAAATATTGTATAAGCAGTATCATATTTGTTCTACAATAACTTTAAAAAGATCTTAAGATCAAAACAACAAAAACATTATTGCTTTCAAAGGTGTCATACTGGGCATTATGGCATAACCAATACAAAATAATCACCTTGTATCAAATAAGTGAATACTTGTTAATGATTCTCAATCGAATATTTAAACAAACGTGACAATTTGGTTCTTACTGTGTGTACTAATAGTAGAACTATATATATAAATGTGATGAGAGAACAGTAGAAGAGCAGTTAAATTATTTCAACCTAAACGTATAAACGTGTAACTATAAAAGTACGTGACTTTCGCGAGTCAAACAAATTAAAGAGTCACTGTATGAAAAGCTGATCCTGTAATTACAGATAACTCGCGTTAAATTATTCACACGCAAACACCTTTTACGCAAAAAACGTGTAAGTATAAAAGTAAGTGAGTTTCGCGAGTCAAACAAATTAAAGTGCCATTGAATGAAAATCTTGTTTGTTTGTATGAATTTATGCACAAAGTTTCACAATGGGCTATCTGTGCTTTGCTCACCACGGGTATCGAAACCCGGTTCCTAACGTTGTAAGTCCGCAGACATACCGCTGTGCCACTGGGGGGGCGAATAAAAAGTTGTTCTTGTAATTACACATAATTCGCGTTAAATTTTTAACATGCAAACACCTTATATGCAAAAACAACAGAGTAATTCTGAGAAATCTTCGGGCTTGTAACCTAAGAGAGTGGATGTTGTTTGAAT